TGGTCTCTAAGACACCATCCTGAACTTTTTACTCACAAAATATAGACAGACACAGATGCACACACAGAAACATGTGCATGTATTAGTTACCATGTCCTGCATAGTCTATCATATTTTTGTATACGGTGGTACCTAGACACAGATTTTTGGGGTTATCAGTCATATCAGTCATTCCACTGTGTTTACAGGTGTTACTTGTAAGAACAAGGTGAGCAGGATTTGGCTTGTATTTGGGGATAATAATGCCATCCTTGTCAAGTAGTTCAGTTCAGTTTTGCATTTGCAAAATTAGTTTACCAGACCTTTGAGTCCAACCACCTTTATGAAGAATAAGTTCTATAGCCATTGTAGTTTCTTTTATGAAAGTACTTTGTGTTTTATTTATTCCTTCAAGATAATGATTTTGTCCATTTCATCTGATAAAATTATATCGGGGCCTGATCCTGTCACAGTTGTATACTTAAAACTTCAGTTAATGTCTGTGAGCCAAATCCTGCTCAGCTTACTCACATGGGTATCACCTGGCCTGGTTGATTTTACTTCCCAGTTATAAATAAGAAGCAGATTCCTTATGGTTAATTGAGTCTTTAATATCCCCATAAAAAGCAGTATGAGATCAAAATCAACTCTAGCAGGATTACATATACTCACAAAAAACTAGCCAGACTTCACCCAGTGGAAATCTTGGGCATACAGAGTAAGAATTGTGATTTATCAGAAGATATCAGAGTAAGAATTGTGATTTATCAGAAGATATCAAATTTCTCTGTTACAACATCTCTGTTCAAGAAATCCTGTAGCAGTTAAAAATTCTTGCGGTTTCCAAAAGATTTTCAACATCAACAAAAGAGTAATGTGTCAGATAGGCTTTGTATGCCAGGAGTCTCTTGTCCTTTCTGTTGCTCTTTTCTAGATTTAGCAAAATTCAATGGTGGTGCTAAATCTTTTTTTTTTTTAACTTTCAAGGGAAAAAACACTGGTAAAATTGTGTTTTCTAGGGAAGGCTGTGTGTGTAAATGAGAAACAGTGGATAGCAGTGGAGTGATCTCCTGTGGCCCTGCTAGTACAAGCTTTCCCCATATTGTCTCCTGCTTTTATATTAATTACAACTTGCATTATCAGCTGGGAGTGTGTAGCCCAGCAAATAGAAAATACTTTCCCTGGAGACATAGCTTCTTGTATCTATTTTCCATCTCCTTCTATTGTGCTCTACTCGGTATTCACTGCTTTTCTCCTAGTAACACTGCTCTTTAACACAATTAGGTAAGAGCAAGAGGAGTACCATATTTGACTCCCAATTATTAAAACTACTGGGAATAGATACAAGTGCGCTGTTCACTTGCTGTGGTATCTGGCATTAGTTTAGGTCATATGTGTGTGAAATCTTTATAGTATCCACACATATACAAAATAGGCAATTGCATTTTGGCAGACATCATCCACACTCTTCAATGTGTTTCTGCAAAGTATATTACTAAACTTGCAAGAAGAAACAAGAAGCCATGCTAGCAGTTTGTGTAATTTATCTAAAGTTATATGTTAGATTTATTTTTTCCTTTTTCCCCCCCCCCCCAGTGTGATGACTTAATATAAATTTCATTGAAACTAACAGAAAAATTGCAACTAACATCAGCAGGCTTTAGGCCAGGATCTCTTTAGGTACCCAAACTGTACTGATAAAGTGTTTCCAGTGAAGCAAGTTTTAGATGTGTCATTTGGTCCCGGTTTTGTTTTTTTTTTTTGTGAAGACACGCATAAAGCAACTACTTACGATTAGTCATTTGGCCAAGAATTTTTTCATGAGGGATGCAAGGTTGGAAACAGTCTAGGGGAGAAAAAGAGAAGTTCGCTGGCATGTAACAATGATCTCAGTCCAAAGCAAAAGAATTCTGCCTTTTTATGAGTGTGTAAACTCCACCCCTAGAATTATTTGTGATTTTTTATAATATTAAAGCCTAGCTATTTCCCTCCCTTTCAAATTCCTCCAATATTCTACTGTCACATCTAGTAAATATCTTATATTTTCTGTCCTTCAACAAAATTCTGCCAAATTGCTTCCTCAAGAAAACTGTGTCACAAGAAATACATTTAATTCCCAATCAATACAGTCAGTCTTTCTAAAACAGGATCTAAAAACTGAGGTCAAGAACAGCTCGGCCTGGTAGAGACAGCAAGTGTTTTCAGCTGTGTGGGAAGCCTCCTTCAGTTATGGTTTTGAAACAGAAAGTCTGATCTAGCTTTTGAAATATTGCATGATAGGTTTTGATGACATTTGCCTTAAAACATAGCTGAACTGTTATCAGTCAATTATTGTAATTTTCATATCTGTGATAAGGAGCTCCAACAGCAGTTAATGTAAGAAAGCCTGCAGTACACAAAATTAGCATAACTCACGGTGTTCCCTGAAAAGTTTAGCCTAGGTGAACATGTTGCAATTATTACCTTTTCTAAAAAAAGGTTCCAGCATGATGCTGTTGGAGGGCTAAACTCATGCTATGCTATTGTTTCTTTCCTTTTTCATGTATTTCTTCTAGCTCTTTATCTGATTACCATCCGGCAAACAGCTGACGCTAAGAGGCTGCAGAGGGCTGAAGAGCTCCTGTCTGCTGTTTGCCTTCAGCTTGAAGCTATTTGAGTGGCTTCCTAACTCAGAGATAAAAAGAGAAGCTCATAGGCAGAACTGTGTTTTAATCCAAGCTGTAAAGAAACTTGCTCAGTTTTTGCATTTTATTTCCATCTGAACTTTTTGCTAACCTTATTTTCAACTTTTTTGTTCTTTCTAATAACATCTGGGCTGCTTCAGCTTTCAAGATTTCTCATCTTTCTGTGTTTCTCTCCACCTGACTCTGTAAAATGATGGTAAAATGTGGTAGTTGGTTTGTTTGTTTGTTTTGTTTTGTTTGTTTTTTTCTTTTTTTTTTTCATGAAATTGTGGGGGATTACAGTATTAATAGTGATTTCTGAGACTTAATACGATAACCTTGAAGAATATAAAATCTTATTGTTTGGTGGCTTTTTTTCATGTTGTAATTTCATGTGTAATTTCTGTGTGAGGAAAAGTAGATCAGTCTTCTAGGTTTTAGAGGAGGTGGTAATTTTGTGCCATAAATGCTGTTGTGCTGACAGGTTATGCAAATTTCAAACCCTGACCTGTCTTCTGATTTTACTCCTATCTTCCTGCCATGGAACCATGTACGTGGGTGTGTGTCTGTCTTTGTAAGGTGAAGGTGATTTGGATCCTTCTTACCCTTTGGTCACATGAGACTTTTCTGGGAACCTTTTGAAGTTATGGGCTCTTTCCTTTGTCTCTGCTGTGATCCGGGTCAGACCCGTCAGATTAATGTTACTGGGTATTGTAGCAAGCCGTTATTTGGCAGTTCTATTCTGCATTGCTATAGAGCATGTGGTACTAATCAGTGCTAGGAGATTACTTTGAGATGTTTCAGTATAGATTCTGGGACTTGGTCCCAATCACACTTACACTGTATTTTACAATGGGTAAATCAGTTGATTTTGTTGAACTTACTCCTACTACGCATTGGGGTAGATGAGGTCAGGATCAGTCCTGCTTAAAAAATTTATTCAAACCCGTCATCTGCTGTCTTCAGGTTCTCCTCATGCTTTAATAGTAGGATATTATTTCACAATGCAGATTTAAAGCACAATCAAACCTAAGAAGCTTTCTTTTTTTTATTTTTTTTGAGGGGGGACTTATTGTTTGTTTCATTGTTGAATTATTATAACGCGCTCGATTAAAGTTGTCGCATACAGGTGACAAGTAACACAGATCTTGCCCCTAGTCTGATCTGTTTCATGTGTTCTTGCTCCCCTTCTCTGCCAGAGGAAATTCCATCTCTTGCCTGCCTTCATGTGGTGCTGATAAAGCTCTTCCTGTACAGTAGAATTCCTGTTTTCCTTTAAGCAACAGCAGGGTATTGGGAATGATCAGGAAAGGGGAGGAGGACAGGAGGAGAATACACTCAACAAAGTAGCACTAAACTGTAACATTAACTTTTCCTCACTTATCCTTTTAAATAGCAGTTCCTCTCTCCGAGAAAGACAATACCCAATAAATTAGATAGTGTACTTGAATTATGTGACTAAAGTACAGTAGTTGAGGTCTTACTTAGCCAAGTTTTGCAAACTTTGTATGTCTGTCTTCTGTGTTCCCTTTTGTAGTGTTTTATGCATGGTAATGTAGAAAGAATTACATAAAAATCACTATACATGTTATTTTATATAATCACCTGGTGGTTATTTTTGACAATTCTTGTAAGCGAACTGTTAGAAAGATAATTCTAGAAAGTCTTTTGAAATGTGTCATATCAAGGTGGTGATGGGGGGTGGGGGATGAGGAAACATCTTTCCCAGTATATAACGTCTTTCAGGGAAAGCTTGCTTTTTCCCCTCACAACTTTGAATCTGTTGAAAGTTTTTCCAGTGTTTAAATGTGTGACAGAGAGGGTAGGGAGTGAGGACATACTCCTCTCCCATGCATGTTTTCTTGTACTTCTTGAAACAGTTTCCCTCCTCTTCTCCCCTCACTGCTCTAGTCAGTCTATAAAAACAAAGTGTAAGAAGACAGTTTGCATAGCAACAATTTTGATCCTAATGAGAATAGCTAGTATCATAAACTGTGCAGGTTGATGCTCTCTCCTCCCACTACCCTGTAGAGCTCATTAAGAAACTTAATTTTTTTTCACTCCTGATATATTCTTCTGCAGTACTACTCAAACAATTAAATCCAGACAACTCTTTGGAAAGCTTAAAAAAGAAAAAAAAAAATCTGTCCTGTGCTTAAACAAGTAAATCTTTGTATCTCCTCTGCTTGTCTTTGCTGAAGAATTATTACACTGTGCAAACAGTATTGGTGTTTGGCACATTTGACAAATGCTAATGTGTATACTTCCCCCCCCCCCCTTCTCCTGGTTTTCTTTCTATTCTTCATTTGCTGTTGGAATGGGAACCGTGGAAAAAATTCCTTGGCACTCTGACACCAGAATCCTTCATCTTGGAGAGACCATGATGATGCAACCTCAACGCACTCAGCAGGCACACCAGGGCCCTCCAGCGGGGGCCACGCTTCCCAGAGTGGAGACAACAGCAGCGAGCAAGGTAAAAGGTCAAACTTTTTCCCTCCGCAAAGTAGGCATGACTAAAATAACTCCAGTTTTTTTCATTATATCAGTACATCTGCCTTAGAGTAAACATGGAGTGGCAGACTTGCAGTATAATCAGCTGTGACTTAGGGAGACGGTATTTCCTTTTCTTAACCCACTTAGCTGCATTTTATTGTTATTTCAAAGTGAAATATCTAATCTTCAAACAAGCTTTGTAATAACAATTGATTAGTTCTGCCAATTCCTTTACAAATTTGGTTATCTACAGTTTATTTTTGTGTGGTGTAAGTAAATATAATGACAGACATACTCTCCAGTTGCGGTGCAGTTGTTTGAGTTGGGTAATAGAGTTTAACGTGTAGTTTTAGCCGGGAAAGAAAATTCTATATGAAGTTATGAAGCTGCTAAATTATATAAAGTAGAAGAAAAACCTGAATTGGACAGAAAAATGTTTCTTGCAATGTTTGCTTGTACGGACTTGTTTCTTCTTCTAAAAATCTGGATTTGAATGATAAACAGAGATGCACCTGAGCTGCAAAATCTCTGATATACCTATACAGTGAAACCTTCTCAAGGGTTCAGGAAGTTTGATTATTATTTCAGAATTTTTTGTTTTATTTCCTACTGCACCTTATGTGTGGTCATCTGTACCCATGCTGACTGAGTGTCAAAGGCTGTCATTTTGTTATGATAGTGTTTTACACTATTCGTTAGAAGAATAAGTGACTCCAGAAGGTGTAAGAATCAAGCCTCCAGTGCTAAAAGTTGGGTAATGATGACCTGCTGTCACTCTTGGATCTTGACTCAGAGTTGTGGTTTTTTTCCTTTTTTTTTAAGACCAAAGTTTAAGGTGGACTCCATGCCTGTTTTTCTTTGTAAACATGGTAAGCTTCTGCTAGTGAGAGAGATATTACCTTTATATATTACCTTTATAAGGTCTTACGATATGGTCCCGCCATGAGATGTTTATTGTGCACCTGCAGTATTTTGCCTCTGTGTTTTCACCCACGTGCTCAGCAGAGCCAGCTGACAGGGCTGACATCCAACAAGCCATGCGGGATCCCAAAACTGTAGAGAGGAGAAACCTTCAGGGCTAGAGCTGCCTTGATAGGTCTCATGCTGTGGACCACTTCTCACCATGATATTTGCCTCGTTTAGGTGGCAGAGCAGATATGTGTTTGCATGTCTGTCACGTGGCCCACTGCTTGGCACAGAGCTAGATTCTCTTGTCTGTCTTACGATCTGGTGTTGTACCCATTGTAATTCTGGAAACTTGCAAAGTTTTTTTCTGGTAGAGTGGTTTGGTTTTGTCTCCTATTTGTAAGAATTGTTTATACATTTGTAATCTTATAGCTGATAGAAAGCAGTCATGGCACAGGGTGTGATCCAACTCCAACATAAGTCACAAGGACTTTTTCTATGAGGTTAGATTGGAGCTGTACAAGACCTAGCGTGAACCATTACAGATTCAGCAGCTAATGATGAAAGGGAGAGCTTGACTGCTAAACAGCATATTGGTGTTTATTAGCTGGCCACAGCTAATAAATAATAGCTATTTATGTCTATTAGCTGTCCGTAGGCTTTACTGCTGATCAAATGTTTACATGGTATATTGTGGTTAAGACGCTTGGTGTAGCAGATGATCATTTGCATACTTAAAAATTATTCCTTTGAGTGGTCTGCCACAGCATCTTCATTCCATCCATAGGTATGAAATTTCCACAGAACTGTATCTTCACTGTGCCTCAGTAACCCCTTAGAAATTAGAAAAGTTCCTTCGTTGAGCCATATAAAGAAATCCCTTGTATCAATATCCAGGGATCTTGCATTTCACTAGTCTCTGATCCCTTGTCATGTAACTTGTGGTGCTTGGGAAATATTGATAAGCATTAGAAAAAGCAGTTGATGATGACTACACCAACTTCCCATTGGAAACTGAGTTTTCTGCTAATATATATGACTTTAACAAACCTGTTAGACTCATTTCTGCAGAAGGGGAACAACCACTGAAGGGCCAAATCAGTCACTAGTGCTGCCCAGTATATCACGGTAAAACATCTCTAGTATGCTTCCCCTAGTGCTCAACTGGGCCTTTTAAAGGAAAGCAAACGTCCAGTGGTAAATCACTCTTCCACTCAGCTGCTGGCAACTAAAAGATGATTCTACCAGCAAAATTCCCATTGGAGATGGCTCTGGATTGCTTTCCCTCTCTCATTCCTGGAAAAGACTAAAGAGAGGGAGATATGTCTTGAATTTTCATTATGCTTCCTTGAGAGGGGGAGAGTTTACCTTATAATTTGTAAACTGGCAATGAGTTGGTCTCAAGATGAATAGATGCCCTCTTGAGCTATTCTGGTGCAGTTATTTGGGTCAACTTGGTTTCCTTGCAGTTTTGTCAAGAGTATCCACAAATGCTGCTTCAAGTTGCACTTGCTCCAAAGGATTTCTTGGAAATGGGAGCTCATTAGGGAGTCTTGTGTTACATTAGTAAATTACAGCCTTCTGCATTAAGGCCTGGTGGCAGCAGAGATTGATTCATATTAGAGTCTGTTCTGGCTTTTGAGAGAACTCTTTCCAGGGGTCTCTGCTTTAGCCTTAAGTCTATGATGTGAAGCTTGTGATTTTTTTCTCTTTTAATATTATTATTTTATTTTATTTTGGGAAGGTAGGGGGGAAGATGGAAAGGACTTGGGTTGAGTGATGACTGTCTTTTGCAGACTTTCTCTGCATGAGGTAGATCTATTTATTGTCCGGAAGAATCCATTCATAATTTTTAAAATTTGAACCAAATAAAGAATGTTTAGTCATTTTATCTGTTTATGAGGACAGTCTCTCCATGACAGTGCATGGCTGCCCTTTGGCATCAAAAGGGTTAATATGGTCCATGTTTGGTATTATTAGAAACATGGTGGTATTGAAAGAGTTAAAGAAAAGGCCTTCAGGCAGTAAATGTTGAAAGATTATCCTAATTTTATTAGTGGTAAGTGTCTATGTTGTTCTTAACATGTCACCTCACTTGTTCAACAGAAAACTAAGCTATACAACATACTGATCATCTGACAAACCAAAGTAGTAGCAATCTGTAATCCAACAAGCATTTTTTGACTTTATCTCAGTTCAGATTCACAAATGCAAATCAATTCTGTGTAATACTATTTTAGAGATTAGAAGTTATGTAGTAGGTCTGATCAACTTTCCCCCTGCTCTAGAAAGAGAAAGAGTTAAATATATCCAATAATAAAAATAAAACACTCTAAACATCTTACAAAAAGGAGAAGCTGATTTAATGGTCTAATGAGGCCATCTTCCAGAGACTTGTTTTGTGTAGGGCTTGCTTTGACCTTTTGCTTTGCTCAGGAGCCCAACGCTTCATTTTTCACATTCTTGCAATTACGTTAACGCTTCAAGCATTTCTGACTCCAAGTCAGCTAGCAACACCAGGCATAACTCAACACTGTGAGTTTTTCTCCTCTCTGTAGATTCATTAACAGGTCACCGGGGTCCCAACTGAAATTTAAAACTGACTGGTTCTGTTGGGTTAGCTGAGTTATAGCAAAGGAGATGGCAGGAAAGGGGGTGAGAGAAGGGGAGAGGAGAGAGGAGAGAGAAGGCCCTGGTTTTGGCCAGGGAATATATGTGTAAAAACTCTAAGTGGAAGATTAAAAGGTGTGTGTAGCTTTATCATCCACCCTTTTCTTCAGAGAGGAAAAAACACATCTGAAAGTCTTCTGGGGTATTGTGTTTTCTTTATTCTTTGCGAAACAAAGTGAAAACAGCCCCCGCCTTTACATAAAAGGCTAAATGACTTCTAGAATTTGGCATCAGTTTATACCACAGTGATGGATGTGATGCTCCCAGTCTTTAATTCCTGTTTAATTTCTTTATGGATATTGCAAATAATGAATATGACAGATTATGCATGAAAAGTGAGAAATAAATCTTTTTAAGATTTAAAAACATGTGGTCTATAGGAAAACACCAGGGAATAATTTCAGTTTCATATTTTATGGTGCCAGGATTGTATACCTGCTTTGTCTTATTCATAGTTCAGTCACTCAAAGGGCCTGATCCAGCCAAGTTGGAGACTGTTTTCCTTCAGGACCTTTCAGGAAGGCCAGCATCTTTTTAGGATTAGACTTGGGTGACAAACTTGATCATAAGTGAGAAGCCAGAGACAAGAAACTTCTTATAGCTTATAGGGCAGTAAAAATATAAAGGAGTATCGTATCCACTTTACCCATGTGAGTGAGTAGCTCATTGATATGTGGGTTTTTTGGCTTAGTGGCTTTTTTTGATGGGACTACTTGTGCTGAATGATCTGGCCCTTTATAAATAATATCTGAGGCTACTCTCTAGGGCAAATCTCAAAGTAATTTTGAAGCACTTATGTGCAAGTTTGATGTTTGTCTCACAAATCTACCCACAATAGCTTTCTTTGGCAAAGATTCCTAATCTGATTCAGGGCAAAGTCAACTAAAATACTAGCTGAAATTACACATTGATCACAGGTTAACTCTCTGGATTGATGCTTGTTGGAAAAATTAGGTAGTATATTTCTTATTCAGCATATACAATCTTGTAATAACTATAGTATTAAATCAAATTTGTTTACAAAACTAACTGACAAAGCCCAAAGCCCAAATACTATTCTAGTATTGGAAACTCTACTAGAACTACATAAATCTTTGAACCAAACTCCAGTTGTCAGAAAAAGGAGAGAAATAGGCTGATGTTAGTAATAATTGAAAAATAACATATTCATACAAAGTCTTTGGAAACTAGTCCAAAAGCTAATGCTACAGCTTCTTTTCCTTAGTCCTGTAAATATGGTAAGCCTGTTGAAGCTAGTATGCATATTCATCATAATATTCAGAACATAACTTTCCTTTGTATTTTTACTTATAAAGGTATAGGGTATGGTTTTATTGGAAGAGAGCAGTCTTGTATAAGAAAGAAAATTCCTCATAGAAAGGCTCAAACTTCCAGACTGTGAAA